GGAGAGCTAATTTAGGGTATCTGGCGGAAGTAATTTCTAAGTAGCAAAGCATTCAAGAGGAAGCCGAGCATAAAAATATGCAAAGTTTGCAGGCTCACAATGTGAGAGAAAAGAAAAACCGATTTTCTGGGGAGAAATTCAAACCAGCTACAGAAATTTTCGTAAGTTATGACGAATCAAATGTTAATCACGAAGAATGTGGGAAAAATGTCTCCAGGGCATGTCAAAGGCCTTAGGCAGCCTCTCCCATCACAGGCCTGGAGGCCTAGGAGGGAAAATGGTTTCCTGGGCCAGGCCCAGGGTCCCCCTGCTCTGTTAAGCCTCAGAACATGGTGCCCTGCATCCCAGATGCTTCAGTTCCAGCTATAGCTAAAAGGGGCCAACATACAACTCAGGCTGTTGCTTCACATGGTGCAAGCCCCAAGCCTTGGTGGCTTACACATGGTGTTGGGCCAGTGGGTGCAGAGAAATCAAGAACTGAGGTTTGGGAACCTCTGCCTAGATTCCAGGGGATATAGTGAAATGCCTGGATGTCGAGATAGAAATTTGCTGCAGGGGTGGGGCCCTCATGGAGAAACTCTGCTAGGGCAGTGCAAAAGGGAAATGTAGAACTCGGAGCCCCCACAAACAGTATCCACACGGGCACTGCATAGTGCAGCTGTGAAAAGAGGGCCATTGTCCTTTAGACCCCAGAATAGTAGATGCATCAAGAGAACTTGCACCATGAGCCTAGGAAAGCTGCAGACACTTAACACCAACCCATGAAAGCAGCCAGGAAGGGAGCTATACCCTGCAAAGCCATAGGAGCACAGCTGCCCAAGGCTGTGGGAGCCCACCTCTTGCATCAGCATAACCTGGATGTGAGACATAGAATCAAAGGAGATCATTTTAGAGCTTTTTCTTTATTTTTTTCTTTTTTCATTCCCTTGAGTCTCACATTTTGGAGGTTTAAGATTTGACTGCCTCATTAGATTTTGGACTTGCATGGCGCCTGTAGCCCCTTCGTTTTGGCTGATTTCTCCCACTTGGAATGGGTGTAATTAGTCAATGCCTGTACCCTCATTGCATCTAGAAACTAACTTCCTTCTGATTTTATAGGCTTATAGGCAGAAGGGACTTGCCAGGTGAAAATTTGGACTGTGGACTTTTGAGTTAATACTGAAGTGAGTTAAGACTTTGGGGGACTGTTGAGAAGGCATGAATGGTTTTGAAATGTGAGGACATGGGATTTGGGAGGGACTAGGGCAGTTTCCCACATGCCATTTTCTCACAGTAGTGAATAAGTCTCACAAGATCTGATGGTTTTATATATGGGAGTTCCCCAGCACAAGCTCTCTCTTGCCTGCTGCCATATAAGACGTGACTTTGCTTCTCATTCACCTTCTGACATGATTGCAAGGCTCCCCCAGGCATGTAGAACTGAGTCAATTAAACCCCTTTTCTTTATAAATTACCCAATCTCAGGTATGTCTTCATTAGCAGTGTGAGAATGGATTAATACATGCATACTGTAGATGATTTGGTAAAGCCAGTTAAATATACACAATTATATATGAAAAAGTTGTCCCAGAAGCTCCAGAGTAACTAATATCCATCCATCCATACAAATCATATAAACATTTAGTAAATAAGTCAAATTAAAAGTTGAGACATTCCAACTTCATCCAGAAAGCCTGAGTTCAAGTTCTACTTCTACCATTTGAATTAGCTAAAACTTTTTGCCAAATCACTTTATTTGAATCATTCAAAATATGACTAGGAAATAACCTATCTCCTAAGAATCTAAGGAAGTTAATTCTTTGAAAGAGCTGAGATTTCTTGATAAAAAAAAGTCCTATTAATATTTGTTTATTCTAAAAATAGTTTTTAAAAAAATCATTCCAAACTGATTTTCCAAATGCTTCATCTGTAATATAAGCATCATGATAATACAATCCATCTCGTAAGAGTACTAAAAGGATTCAATAATAATACACCTAAAACAGAACATTCCTGGCACAGAGTTCGCGCTCAACCAGTGTTAAGTATTTTTATTATCATCATGACATTAGCAACGAAGAATTTAATGCAAACTTCTTGGAGGGCATTCTGGTAATAATCACTAACAAAATCTTAAATGCATATACCCTCTGAAACACCGTTAGAAATTATTCCTAGGCCGGACGCGGTGGCTCAAGCCTGTAATCCCAGCACTTTGGGAGGCCGAGGCGGGTGGATCATGAGGTCAAGAGATCGAGACCATCCTGGTCAACATGGTGAAACCCCGTCTCTACTAAA